TCATGTTTTTTTTTTCCTTTTTTATGTAGTAAGAATGCTTCTTTTCGCAAACAAGTATAATTTCCTCTTTTTTTTTAGACCGGTCGTAGCTAAGTAAAATAATAAAATTAAAATAAAAAGCCTGCTTAGCTGCCCACCTTTATGTGTTTGGCTATTATATGGCCGAATCCTATAGCAAGATCTCTAAGATCTAGACACTTAACCTGCAAATTACATAGATGTTGTTTGCGGTTTATTGATTAGTTTCCGATTTATAAATGTCTTCCAGTCTGCAATTATTTTGTTATCAAATAAACGAACTGTCCACACAACTTAGTGAATGAAATTCTGGTTTTCCTTACGTTTTTGTAACATCTATTGGCGATATTAAACAAGTGCTAGTAATTCAATGTTGTTCAAAATTAATTACAACAATCGTTAATATCTAAAAAAAAAGTAAAGCCTTACTGTTTAGTTTAACAACAAGCTTCGCTAACAAATATGTCTTTATTTAAAACAAAAGGGTGTTGAAACAGTACAGATTTGCCACTGAATGACAGGTGACGTGCCCCCAAGCGCCTACGTTTTTTTCTCCCGGCTCTTGGTTCCACTACCAACTCCGTTCCCTTCGAATATATGTGGACAACGTAGGATGACATGACAATTTGCTAACGACCGACGTTGCAATCAAGTGCACGGGAGCGCTTGCGTCATTTTTAGAAATACGTTCAATACTGTGTCCCTCAGATACTACTGATTCGATGACTGTAAAATTGTTCAAAACCAGGAGGAGATTTACTTATTTGCGAAAAAGTACATGGTGATATCCATAATGTACATTAAATTTGAGTGTCGTAATACATGTGTTAAATAAGATATTTTTGTATGTAGTAAGATTTTCCTTAACATAAAATTTACATAAAGCTCTTTCATTTACTTTTCAACGACCTCAATTTTTTTTTCTAGGGCCCTTTGCATTTTAGGAAAGCCGGTAGTAATTGTGATATACATTTTGTAAGTAGGTTATGAATAAGTTTATTATTACTGATGTTTTTTATTTTGTGAAAAATGCCCGTGCAAAAGGTACAAATGTCACCTTGGTTATAATTCCTTTTAAAAGTACAACTTTTATTAATCGGTTTTTGCCGATGCCCAATGAACTAATGTCACGTTACGGTTTACGAGTTCTTAGAGAAAGTCGACATAGAGACGGTGGGTGAGGGACTGCTACGACGATCACGAGATGTGACGGCGCTGGGGGGGCCGCTCGGCGGGTAGAACGCGCGTTCTAGCTACTCTATGTCTCTATCTTTATAGAACATCTCTCTCCCGCATCCTTAAGACCTAATTGTACGAAACTAACGTGCGAAAGTTTTCACATCAAATCACCCTATATAATATGTATATGAACGTGCAATTAAATTGTACTCAATTCTGAATGTATTACATCGTTTATATTCTTTTATATAATATTTATAAAATATACGATAAGGTATATATTTGTCCATCTTATCGTATTTTTTATCAATTTTATAAAACTTTTTTTAGATGTTATAAACTTTATTATAAAACTAAATAAATTGAATGATAACATTCAATTTATTTGCACTGCCTTAAGTTTGTATTGGAACTGATTGCAGTTCCTGGTGCTTGTCGCTGTATCTGTTTTCATTTTTTTAAATTTATTATTATTATGTATTGATTGTGTTAACTACAAAGACTAAGTTCCTTTCAATTGTCCACTTTCCGTCTTGGTAATATAAATCCATGCCGTCAGCTGGTTTATCTGGATGCACATTGATAAATTATTAAATATTTTTTATTCAATTGTGTGTTAAGGTATTACCTAAACTTGAAGTCCGACTATGTTACTAAAGTAATAATGCATGCTCCTTATTAAAATGACGAAAATTTACATGATGTATACAAATAACTGTGCAATGAATATTATGTTTCTAGTCAACATGAACAATATCCGACAAAACGATATAAACAATAGGGGATATAATTATATATATATGTAGGTTTGAAGTAATTTTTATGTTGTATTCATTGGTATAGCATTTGCCTAAAAATTTTTTTAATCAATTAATGAAATGCTATTGTTTTTAGAAGTAAATTGTTTACGTAATGAATTGTTTGTTCAGTTAGGTATGCACATATTAATTTGTTTTTTAATGATATTGTACTGAAAAAATAAAATTTTGTTACAAGAGAAATATTGAAATTTTCTTTAGTTATAGTTTTAAAATTGACCCCATTAGCACTTAAACATTTCAGAAGGATGGGGCTTATATTATTATAGGGTTTACATATCATAAACATAAATAATTCATAGTAACAAATGCTGTATGTTAATAATGGATAATATTAGGTAAATATTAAAAAAGGCGATAAATTGGAAAAATAAATGATTAATTTATTTATACCTACATATTAAAATTAAAGTCCCCGCTAAGTCTGTCTGTATGCGTTTCATACTGTTTTAATTAATAGACAAACTAGTTCACAAAAACAGACAGTTTCCACACATTAATTGAGGTAATTCTTTGTTTCAAAAATAAGTCGATTTTGTAGATAGGCACTGACATTATAACATGTATTACGCAATCTCCATAAGTTTGGCGTGAAAAATAGAACTTAACTATTTTTATTGTCGCTTTTACGTCTGTCAAATATATACACCACAAACGATCAATAGATCGTTTGATGAAGTGGTACCGTTCGCTAATCTCCAAATGTTAGCCAATTCATAAATATCTTAGTAACGGCGGCTTGCAACAAAATATAATGCTAATTGAAAAATTAAAAGTAAGATTTAATAGATAAACGGGGGTGTGCTTCAGTCTCATTTACAATAGTTAACTGCTATTTGTAAAAAACTGAACATGTCAAAATACGAGTGATTTAGAGATATTTAAGACTAACAATATTTTAAAATATTTCTTGTCAATATTTTGAAGACTAACTTAGTTGCCGTAGTTAGATAAAAATTGAAAAACTATTGATGATTGATTGTTTACGCCATTTTCCCCGCTTTAATATTATAGTTTGTTTCCCATAGATAAAAGACAACTGACAGGCACGGAGGTGGGCGGAAATGCGCGAGAGACGTCATACGGACTTGCTTGCCGGCGGATCGGATATACATCGCTTAAACGCAGGCGAGGGAATAGAAAGCGAAAATTGTGGGCCGGTGCGGAATTAACTCGGTTTTCGCAAAAAATGTAATAGCGGGAGTGGAAACACTAAACAACAGCGCCACTAGACCATCGCGCCCCGAACACCTGGAAACCAGGTGCCAACGTGACAAGGATTAAGGTTACTGCAAGATTAAAAACGGTTTTTATGCGGGTTTTCCTTATAATTAAATGGTAAAATCGTAATTTTTCTTGTTCGGTTTTTACAAGTTCTTTCATTATATTTGGAATTCTCTCAACTTCAAAGTACATTTTGGGATTTGTTAAGGTAGCATGTAAGCTGGTTATCGAAAGGTGTTTGAACTACCAATGTAAATCATGCGATTGCCGTTCAAACCTTCAGCGGTCAAGGTCAAAACCTTAAGGGTATAATAATTTGTTTTTGGCAAGGCAAACATATTTGTTTAAATTCAAAATAACGGAAGCGGGCTACGTAAACGTAAGAGGTCCAGAGCGATAACATTTTTTTTTTATTTTATAAACATAATATTGTTTAAGTTACACAAAACCGGCGGTTGTGTGATCCAATATTACGATTAATATTAGGTTAAGCAGGTTTCTTCAAGGCTGTCCCGGACGCGTACATCGATTATACCAGAGATTTGAACTAAATGTCGGTAAGACTAAGGTGATGGTGTTTTAAAGGGGCGAAAGCACGACTGAATGCGATATACTTATAGAAAGTGAGTAAGTCGAACAAGTGTAAGAGTTTGTATACTTGGGTAGTCTGTTTAAAAATTATGGTAAACGTGACAGAGATATCGAGACGAGAGTGAATGGGGCTTTGCTTGCTATTATGAATAGTAAAAAACGTCTCACGACAAGCGCGCTTAGCTATCCATAATGGGGCCCTAATCCCTACGCTTATGTATAGTAGTGAAAACTGGGTATGGCAGAAGAAAAATCAAAGAAGAATCAATGTAGTGGAAACGCGATTGCTTCGTAGTATGTGTGGAGTGTATTGGAAAGGTATACCGACTAGAGTAGAAAGAGGTAGGTGCGTTGCGGTGGTTTGACCATCTGGAAAAAATTAATGAAAATAGACTGACGAAACAAATTTATAGAGCGAATGTGTGTGATGGAAAGGTCGGCAAGGGTCGCCTTAGGAAATCCTACGCAGATCAAATTGGTGGTATATTAAAAAAGGGTCAAATTTTAAGCACCCGAAACCGACAAGCTTGCATGAAAACATTCATGGATGTCATTGAAGCTAGATAGATATGCAAAGATCGTAGCATGTGGAAATCTATAGTCTCTGTCTACCCCTCTGGGAAATAGTTGTGATTGTATTATTGACTTAATATTATTATTATAGATTTGAAGCAACATATGCTGCAATATCAACCACAAAAAAATTATCCAATTGGCGTTTTCTCATTTAAATTTTTTGTATATATATACATATTACGCAAGATGTTTAGTTAACGAAATAATCGAGAAAAATTGTTTTATCTCGAACTGGGAGTTGGGAACATGGCTGTCATAAAGAGATATTGACAGTCCTTTTATGAATATTTCGTATTTCGTTATTCTTCATATTCTAAACGATATGATTTCGCGTTCAAATCCTCTTGGGTTTGTTGATTTTTTTCGCTTGCACATTAGCGATTAACGTTGATTTTCTTATTTGGTAAGGTTTAAAGTCAATGGTAAACAGGCACGTGTGACTGGTAGATGCACATGAAAAAGCTGAGCATAAATAGTTCCATATATGTGTGCCCCTAAATGATAAATAAATGTAATTCATAAAAAATCATGCTATTAAATTATTATTTTTTTACTTTATCACGGCATCTATTAGTGTTTTTTCATAACTATCTTTGTCTCGTGCGGGAGTCAAACCCGCGCCCCAACGCAGCAAGTAGGGTCACTACCAGCTGCGCCAATGAGGCAGTCTGGTATAGACAGTGTTTAACAGTATTATAAACGCGTATTCTGCGAGATTATAGACAATGTTTTGAAAGTCGCTACAAAAAATTCAAGTCTTGAAGTTCGTTAATCTACTTGCTTGTGAAAACTTTTTCCTAATGTATGAATTTTCCACAAGAATCTGTCGTATAGTCAGGTAGGATAGGTAGCTAACCGACGGTAGCGACGGTAGACGGTGGGCCACCAATCGAGACAGTCATAAAACTGGGAAGATTTTTTTAGCCAAGCATAGTACCTTTTCTGAAATATTTCTGCACGCCCTTGATGGTAAATGTGCTATTACTTACTTTTACTCTTAAATATATAAGCGTCGTCTATTTCGAGATAAGTCTCTGAAGTTAGAAAAGGACGACAAAATTTCTAGAAGAATATGAAAAATAGGAACGGGCTATTTTGAATTTTAAGGGAAAGCCTAGTGAAAAATTATTGGTCGATTGTCTTTGAAATCGAAAGTATGATGTATCATGATATATAATATGTATATATAAAATATATGACAATGTTTTGCGAAAATAAAAATATTAATTTTGGAAATGAATTAGTGCCTGTGGCTACGTTATTTATTTTGCAAGTTTTGGGCGAATAAAGGAATCACTTTGACAAAAAATAATAATATATTTCTTCTTAAATTATAAATGCAATTAAGATACATTTATGAAATCATTCCTTTTCATATTTAAAATACAACTTGTATTTGGTTTGTCTATTACAATTTGAAAATATAATTGAATTCACAGATCTAGGTAAAAAATAAATAAAAATACACAATGGCTAGACTTATGCCTGAAAGTATTTACAATTTAATTTTCCATTACAGAGTATGTACAGTACAGTTTCATTAGTGTCAGTCTTAATTAAGAAATTATTTTTTTTTTATCAGATTTTCATCAGTAGATATGTGTTATTCTTAGTATTTAATTTATAATTTATTTTAATATATATATATTTTTCACATGTTATTACTTTTGAAAATGTGTGTATGACTTACAAATTAAAATAAAACTATTTTCTGAGGTATATTGCCATTTTTTTCACACATAAATTGCCATAACGCATGCTTCATTTGCTTATTAAAAACATAGATTCCTTTATATATTTGGCAGTGTTAGACAATCATTTCTTTCTCTTATTTTCTATACATATAAATATATATAAGTGCTTATAACCCCCTTTTGCTAGAGTTAAATAAAAAACGTTCATATCAATCATATTTACATAAGGTTCTTTGAATTGTATAAATCAACAACGAAGCCACGTACCTACCACACACGCTATTTCAAAGTACAAAATCAATCCCTTCGTCGCTACGTTGACCAGAAAAAGCGTCAACGGAGTTGAATGCTTTTAAAATATTTTTAACCCATTATTGGTACGCCTAAAATATATTTGATGAATTCATTTAAAATAGTAACGCATTTGTATAAATAACTAAATCAGCAAAAATAACAATTACTATATAATTTCTTTAAGTTGCTACTTAGATAGATTTGCCTACCAAATTTTCATAATGTCTGTAGGTATAAAATCTTTGAAAATAAAACATTATTGTGTTGTAAATATTAACAAACATTTTCTATCATTATTTTATTACATTACATAAAATGAACAATTTTTCTAATTTATTCTAATTACCGTAACAAATGTTAACACCCAATAATGATATTAATTGAAGCAGTAAGCGATCTCAAGTAAGATCTTACACAAAACACACATTAAAAAGCGATCGAAGAAGACTTTAAAGATTTTCCACGGTTTATTGATTTACACGTGACCGGATTGACGATTGATCGCAATTACATCAATGATGAGTAATGTAAGTATACAAAATTGACTGCGATACAATGCGAATGGGTACGTGCACGAAATTATTACTGAAGACACATAATAGTGTTATGACGTAGGCGTGATTTGTGATGACGTCAAGATGTGTGATAACGACACGTGAATAAAATGAGTGATGTGCGTCGGGTGACTAAATATATGCATGAGTTAGGTGTTTTAACATTAGTTAATTGATATTGTAAACTCCCATTTGAGGTATTGAGGTGCGTTTGAGGAGTAGAGGGAATATATTCGTGGAGAAGTTTCTCGCGTATACATAAGGAATAATCTGATTCTTAAAACCTTTTATTTTTTAAGTTTTTTAGTCTGTAACTCATGTAACCAAGACAATCTCTATTGTTTTTTTTTTTAATGTAACCGATTCATGTAATCAAGATAATGTTGTTTTTAAATAAAAATTATATTATTTTCAAGATTAGATATGTGTTTTATATATTTTTATCGGCCGAATAAAGGTGTATTCTATTCTTTTATTCTATAGGTATTGATCTTTTAAATCCTCTACTTATTTAGCTTTCTCTGCGAAAGATTATAACGAATGTAAGCCAAACAGATTTTTTATATAAAAAATATGGGCTATAGGCACAAATTATGCGGTTATAACAAATAAATAAAAGCTTACATTTATTGATTAGGTATAATCACAAATGCAAGGAAAAAAAAAACTATTTTTAAAAACAATAGTTTCAAAAACTTAAGTATAAAGTGATGTATTTTCATAATCTAACTTGTTTTGTTTAACTGCCACAATTCGAAGTATGGAAAACAAAAAATGATCATATGCCGATTGAATGTAATAATGTCCAAGTCACTCCTTATTAATATATAATTATTCTGTTGACTATTCTATGACAATAGCTCCTCCACGATTAAGCGGATATTTGGTTATTTGGTCACTAACGAATAGTTTTTACTAAATTTTATAAAGTATGTGGGATATTTTTTCGCTTTTATTCCTTACGAAGTATATATTTACAATTTTCGGTTAAAGTTTTACATAGTCACTTAACATAAATCTCTCCACGTTAATATACATACCCAATATGCTTTGGGGGTCGAATAATGCTCATACGCTAATACAGTGGTATATATTTATATAAACATATCCAATAACTAATCCTATTAGACTTTACACACACAATAATATTATAGTTATGGGGCCAGCGAATGAAAAAGGTTATAGTTTTAAATAATATTAAAAGCCTTGAGTTATGTCAAGAACCGAGCGGCACATACATATTCAAATTACGGTATCTGCACGAATTTAAATTAAGTTATATACAATTTTGGTGGGAAGGGGCATTTGGTACATCTAAATTGTTGTAGAATTTATAGTTCTACGATAAAAGCAAATTTATCATCTAAAATTAATTTCTAGCAGCCCCGTTTTGATGGGGATATTTCGTGGAATAATTTTTGTCACCCACTGTACGGGGTAAATAGATCAATATACTTTGGCAATGCTGTACCATCAAATTCTACACAACGAAATCATCTCGTGGGTTTATTTTAGTGAGTAATCACAACAGAAGGGAAACAGTTCGTTTGTGCGTCATCGCACTCTATCGATGGTAACTTACCGCCTTATCGAATTACAGTAGAAACTCGATTATCCGGCCCTCGGTTATACGGATTCGCGATTATCTGGACCGCCGACCGCGAGGAATTTATTCTAACATGAACGTGTCGGAATTTGCATTACGCCCCGCCCGCGCCCCGCTCGATCGCCGCTCCACGCGTGTCGTATTGTTTTAGTTAGTCGGCAACTGTTACTTAGTTCTGACGTGTGTCCCGCGTATCCAAATTTAAAAATGTCAAAGCGTAAAAGAGTGGTGTTATCGCTTAAAGAGAAAATAAATATTATTGATTCATTAAAAAACCCGATTTTCTTCATACATTCGGTTATTCGGATTTTCGATTATCCGAACGTCTAACGACAACAATTAGTCCGGTTAATCGAGTGTTTACTGTAGTAGGTAAACAACTTGCACCCACTGCAGTGTTTCGGAACGCATACAACAACAATTCAGCTACAAGTCAACAACTAAAAAGCTATTTGACAGCTTTCAGATCAATCAGTACGTGTACTAAAATCGCGCGACACATTTCTTCAGGGCTCACTAGTGTTCTTTGCCCAGCGGTTACGGCGCCACGTCCTCTTCTGACAACGGCGGGGTCAGTGCGTGGGCGTGAGGTTCATGTACATGTGGTGCGCGCGCTCGTCGCGGTCGAAGCTGAGCCGCACGTGGGTCGCGTCCGCCAGCTCGCAGGACGGCGCCTCCCGCTCCACTATGGTCGCCATGTGCTGGGCCCTTTGGACAGTGGTCATCTTTAACGTATTCCAAAACTATACGTTATATGGAACACTTTTTGTTGATTGAATTGTGGTTTCCTTTTGTACGTACCCATAAAGGTAGGATATTAAAATTATTTACTTCGTATCTATATCTAATTTCGACAATAATTAGGTAGATCGAGAAGAACAAAAGATCAGTTGTCTTAATACAATGAATGTTGTGTTTCATGGTTTAATTGAGGAATAATAGATTATGAATTCATTATTAATTAATTTATTAGTTTTTAGGTCCAATCTATATAAAGCTGATTGCGTTAGTTGGGTACCGAAGGGGGCTTCACACTATCAGAAATAGTTATCTTTTCATTAAATTATATTTTTTAAATTAAATTAAATTAAATCAACAAGCATCTCATGTAATGAAATACTTATTGGAAAGATAGTTGAAGGAATTTATGATTTCATTGGTAAGTACAGGGTTATTACCTCGTATGAGATTCGGGTGCGGTGCGCGGGCGTTCATGGCGCGGGTGGCTGAACGTGATGAGCGGCGGCTGCGCGCCACCCAGGGGCCTCGGCGGGGGCGGGATCAGGTAGTCGTCCAGCTTGATGTCTATGTCGCTAGAAGTCGACTGCATCGTCAGGGTGCTGGTGGACATCTACCGAACACAAAAATAAAATTTACAGAATTTTTCGAACATCAATGGCTCGTTATTAGTTTTATTCATGTAGATTTAGATTGTATTTGAGCGGATAATACCGAAAATATCGTTATTTGTAATTTATCACCCACACGTAACAAGTTGTTTAGTTTAATATGATATG